TGACACAAACCAGCCATATTGCTTAGCCCACTTCCGGAAGACTCTGAGACACTGCAGTGCTGAGGACAGTGTAAAAACCTGTATAGAAACAAAGAATAGACATTACTTTCAGCAGGCAGCAGTTTCAGGGTAACCCTTTAATAGCCTACTTCTGGGGAACAAAGCAAGTGGCATTCAAAGGTGGAGAGGCTGAACTGGTATGAGAGCTTGCTGTAGCGGGGTTTCATTGGGAGGAGCATGTTGAAGATTTGGTGTATATTTTTTCCTTTCATAGCTTAAAAATCTAAATCTATTTGAAGTAGCGAAGTCAGTGTTTGAGAGAGGGGCATCTTTGTAATACACCATTAACAGTTGCTTGCTGTGAGACTTTTGATACCTCTGTTGAGGTATGTTTGCTTCACCTCAGATCAGTCAATCACAGGCACTGTAAGAGAGCCATAGAGCTAGGTACAGGCAAGTCTAAAGTGTATGGCACAACAGCTAATCCTCAGCACCATGAAATGGCAATAGGTCTCCTGTGAACACTGATTCACAAATTGTGTGCCTTTTACAAAGACCCTTCCTTCCTCTGAGAGATGCTTCCTCGATAGTTCTGTGGAGATGGGCTTATTCCATCCTCAGTAAAGCCATAGTCCAGTGTTGAACTTCTGCTTCTTGGCATTGGACACTAAACTGATTTCTTCACCCATGTCCCTAATGCCCCTGTTCCCATTCCATCTGCCAGGAAACTGATCCATCATCGGAAGGAAACTGTGTCACGCAAAGGTCACACACCAGCCAGTCAGGGAACGATTATGACCCCATCCTCCAGTGATCACCATTTGGATTTAGCACGGCAGCCCAATGGCATGTGCCGGACAGGATACGAGCGACACCACAGCCTGCCAAACACGGAGATCCAAGAGAATGATGAAGGCCTTTACCAGGTAACACTATCTTGGCCTCTTCTAGATTCCTTACTTAAAGGATCCCTTCCTTGTTTATCATACATAATGTTCCCTATATAGTTTCAGTTGCAGTTGTTGCCTTGAACTATAGTGTCGTTTCATTGTTTGCTGTTGTACAGGCATGGCAGGCCTGATCCTTGTGTATGCTTTATTCCTAGAATGCTTTGGGATCCCTGAGGATACAAGACTATGTACACATGAAAGATCTTCTCTTGTTTATGCTGCTGTTTCTTTTTTGACACCTTTTAAAACAGTTGCTGATTCTTCATGGAATACTTTGAAAACGTTGTTTGTAGAGAGAGTTCTGCTTAGGTCTCATTTTACCTGTGTTTTTATTTCCTTGTTAAATATGCATAAAAACAAGATCTCTGTTCCTTAGTAATTCCTCTGTGCCTGCTTATTCCTGTGCTCAACTTGTGAATAGTGAAGTTCCTTTTTCTCTTGTGGACATCCCTAGTAGTAATGGATTTGGGGAAGAAAAACACATTAAATGTGACTTAAAAGCAGAATTTTATCTAAATGGAGCAAAGTTACTTTGAGACATCAACAAGTCTTCACAGAGGCATACCAGGACAGACTTAGCAGCAATTGTTTGGGATAGGTTATGATTACATGGTGGCAGGTAGCAAAGAGATGCGAGTTCCCCTCAGACATGGGACATGTTGGTGTAGGGTTGCTGCATCTGTTTTGGAGGAATGCATTTATAGTGGCACCATTACTCTGTCACTGCTAATAGGTAGAGCTTGTTATTGACTTATTGAGGAAACCGAAGTCTGGAGATAAAAAGGGGCTGGAGTATAGGGTTCCTAACAAATCCCTTCCTTCTTTACCTTAGTACTCTACTCCGTAGGCAACCAAACCAATCCAATGTGGAAAATATCTGAAAAAGGAGAAAACTGGTTCTGCTTTTTTAGGATAACTGGATGCTGCTCTGCTGTAGCCTCCCTCGCCCTCTTCCCCTGTCCCCGCCCTGATACAGAGGCAGTAGTGCGAGAGGAAGGGGAAAACTGGTGCTTGTGGGGAGCCAGCTTTCTGTGAGCGCCGGCTCCTACTCCCTCCCCACCTTGCTGCATCTGTGGGAAGCAGCAAGGTGGGGAGGGACCGGCAGCTCTGCCAAACCAGAACTAGTGGCTAGGATGTTGGACACCAGAGCGCTAGCCCCTCACCTCAAGGGCAAGCTATAGTTCATAAAGGTCACTCCTCAGTGTGGCTGGGTGTGGTGCAAGAGGGTATGGAGGGACTCAGGCCTACCCGCTACTCTGGGTCCCAGCCCAGGCACCCTCTGGCAGCAGCCTTGTCCTGCCTCCTTCTCTCCCCTCTACTGCCTCCTGCTCCCTGGGCCACTTCCCCTGTAACACCCTGCATCTCCCTGGCCCTTGCATCAAGGCCTGCTGCCTGGCAGGTGTCATGCTGGAGCCTCCCTCTCTCTAGCTCCCCTGAACCTGCCCAGCACTGCTTTCTCCATGTGCTCCTCTGGGAGCTGATCCTGCACCTTCCCTGGTCAGGCCCCAACTGTTCCCTCTAGGCTGAGTAACTCCTTAAAAACAGGGCTGTCCCTGATTGGCTCCTGCTCAGGCTCCCTCTAGCCTGCTTTAACTTCTTCCCTGCTGGACTGGGGCAGGTGCCTCACTATGGGGTGTTTGAGCCCCTCTGCCTTGACCTTCTAGGTCAGTGTGTGGCAGCGACATGGTCTGGAGGAGGGGCAGACTGGGTGGGCCTGGCATAGCGCTGGGGAAGCCTGGCTGATGCAGGGCAGGAATCCCAGCTGGCGGTGGTGGTGGAAAGTGGGGGTCCCAGCTCCTTGTTCAGCTTGGGCTACATAACCAAGGTGGTGTGTGGCTCTCCAGTAAGCTGTTGCCTGTGATGTATGTAAGCAGCAGCAGGGTAGGGAAGGAGCAACTTCGTAATATTGATGGCTTCTCTAGTGGTGGTAGATGGCTTTATAGACTGGGAAAGGTCAGAGGAGCTAGAAAGTAGACTAGGGGACTACATGTAGCAGCAAGTGGTAGGGCGGGGGGCCGAGAATGAGACAGAAGTCAGTCTCTCTCTCTGAAAATTACTGTAACCATCATGCAATTGGAATTTTCTCACTGGCCCAGTTGGCAACTACACGCAGATCTGTGAGCATGGCTGTTATCCCTATTCCACTCTTAACAAAATGTACAGAAGCAAGGGGTCACTGGGACTGGACTGTTCCTAGCTCTGCCATTGGCTTGGTGATTTCACTGCTCTGTATCTGTTTCCCATGTGTAAAATGCAGATAATTATGTACAGTTTTTTGAGATCTAATGATGAAAGCATTGTAGAAAAGCTGAGTCTTTCAGTTATAACTTAGCCACAGTAGCGTATCCACTGAAAACATAATTAAGAGCTACAGCTGTCTAAATGACCATTAACTCCCAACAAGCACTACTTTCTATTTTTAAAAAAACTAGGAAATTAAATGGCAAAATCCTTTATTAACATGGAGTTAAGATTGCTTGGCAATAGCTTGTGCCCTTCCAGAATATCAAGTTGAGCAAAACTCAAACTTCGGAAACCCAGGAAACCCAGATGTAAGGTAAATGCCAACATAATCTTAACTCTACCCTCTTTTAATTTATGCCCTGACACACCCTAACACACACTTCTACTTACTTTTCATTTTAGTTCAGGTAGCACCTGTCCACTATAACACTGTGTCTACTCTTTGGATAGAATTTCACACATTTAGCATTTTAAGGGCCACTTTATACCTTTTTATAATCCCTTCACACTTGCACACAGGATACCACCTAATCCTATCCAGCACTAACTCCACAGTTTGCTGTCCTATCCCACCTTGCTACTGCTGGTACCCATGACAGAAGGCCACACTGCCCTGCTATCCACAACCTCCGCAATTCTGTATTGAAATAATGCAGAGTGGAACCTCATGGTATGCATGCAGCTCTCCAGTGCTCCTTTTCCTTCCCAGGCAGTGCTTGGAGAAGCACTGATTTGTTCCTGCAGCTCTCCTGCCCACTTTGGCCAGAGAAAAGTTCTGCATGTGGTTGCAAGGGAACATGAATGGGTTTGGGAGTCCCTCTCAGACCCCTACTGCTGGAAGGAGGAAGTCTGCTGGGATTCTTACAGGGGTCTTCCTGGAGGTTTTTTTTGTGTGTGTACAAGTCTCCATATACCAGGTATCAGATCAATTTGATGCCTTGTCTCACTGGCTTGGGATGGGAAGGGGATGGGAATGAGAAGAGTCTCTGTTATATTCCTCTTCCAGATTCCCCTTGTTTGGAATCTTGCCTTTGCTGCTTTGCCACCCATCAGCAACATGAGTCCTGATTGACACCTTCCCTGCATTGCATTTTGGTCCATTTCACTGAGCTATTGAGAGCGAAAGGCATAGCAATGAAACTCTCAGTGCTGCCCACTTAACAGTGTCACAGTTGTGAACGGAACCCTTGCAAATGTGATCAAGGTGTCGCCACCTTCCTGAGTGTGCAGAGAGAACACCCAGCACCTCTGCTGTTGCTCACAACTT